AGGGTTGGGGCATTACAAATGGTATTAAAGCCGACTCTCCGGAGTACCAAGTGTGGGCCCCTGGCGTCTCTCGGTGCATGTGGGCGGGCTTGTGAGCTGACAGGCTACTATACGGGGACATGCTACCCCCTTCAGAGGGGTGGATTGTAAGGTCCTAGGGTCCTACATCAGGAATGGAAGGGGAGTTTCTAGGCTATAAAAGTAAAAATCTTGACCTTTATATAACATCGAGGCCTTTTCTCGGGTAGTGAGATCCCTAACAGAACTCCCTAGTTAAGCCTGCTTAGACTAGAGTAGTTTTGGGATAGGTGACCCATTGGAAATAACAAATCTGTGCAGGCATAGCTCAAAGCGGACAATATCGATAACGTGTGAAAGGTTGGCATTACATTCATAATCATTAATCTAACTAATTTTTTTGTATTGTTTAGTCTTGTTCCTTTATTTCTTTTATACTATAAGATATTTAAAAAGAATTATATAGTTGATGTTGAAGTGTGGAGAGGCACGCTATAATAATTATGGGTATTCATCTTAATTTGAGAGAGCGTATGGGCTTAGTAGGCTTATTTTGAGATTTATTTTGGTGATCCGTAACTTTAACTTTTTAGGACTTGTTAAGTATAATTTTCATATAAAAAATCAAGATAATTGAACTTTAATAACTATATTTTTTAATCAAATTTGTATTACAAAAAATGAATAGTAATTCTTGAAATTATATTTTTCATTCATGTTTTAAAAATAAATATGATTCAAACATATAACTACCGATATCTAATCATCATGAGTTTTTATATAAATATTCTACTCAACGAGTTATAATGGTTTCGATCACTGAAATCGATCTCAAAATGGGCCTATCAAATCTAACCATTCTCTCAAATTAATATGATAACTTGAGAGAAACAAAATCCAATAATTATAACATCTTCTAATAACCTTGAAAATATTCAATGGATTGAATAGTGGTAGTTGCGGCCTTGAAAGGCAATTGAGAATTTATCCACATCACAGTAAAAATCTCTTTAACAAAACCTAGAAAGTTAAGTATACGTGGAGACCGAATATTACTGGGTTTTTTTAATTTTTAATTTTAAAAAATAACAAACATGGTGTGTACATGTGAGATTCGATTTTCACACAATTTGTATTTGCGTGTGGAAAGTAAGTTGAAATTGTTCAAAAGTTCAAAGTTATCTAGATTTATATTTTACCATATGATATTGTCACTAATGCATTAAAATAATGCATAAATGGTGAAGTGAGATAATTAAATCAAGGTGTTTTTTGTTAATTGTATCTTCTGGGTAGGAGGATGACGGCCATACAACTCCTTAAGTATTTACTAATGTTTTGCATTTTTTATGTAATTTTTCATATTGTATAATAGGTTTACCATTTTTTAATATAATAGACCTTAGGTATACATATGATGTTTATTAGAATTTTTTTTAAGGTTTCTGATATTAAGATTTTGTAAGATAAATGATATATAAAATTTTCATAGTAGTTAAGGTCCCTCAACATTTATACAGAGAAAATTCGGCTTAGAAAAATTTTGTCCCGACTCAGAGAAATTTCAATTTTTATAGGGAAATTTTTCTAATTTTCATACCAAAAAAATTTTAGAATTTTTTTGTGATCATACCAAAGAAATTTCGAAATTTCGATGAGTTGGGTGAAATGTCTCTGAGTCGAATTTTCTTTATGAAAATATTGAAGAACCTTAGCTAATAAAAAAAAATATCTTGGATCTCTCCAACTATCCAAAGTTTGAGAGGGATGTTTCACTAATTTTCCCTATTTATTATTGAAATACACAGAGGATGTAAAGAAAATGATATGATAAATAATTTTTTTAAGACTGTGTTTGGATCATGAATTTAAATAAAAATTTAAAAAGAAAATAACAAAACGTATAAAAAATATATAAAATATAATTATATTTCATTCACAATTCACTTACTTTTCGATTTCATTCCCTTAAAATCTCTACCCAAATTTTATAAATTAAACACTTCCTAACAAATAGTATTCAACAAAGTATTAAATTATTATACATTCCTCAACAATCTTTACTTTTCGATTTCATTCCCTTAAAATCTCTACCCAAATTTTATAAATTAAACACTTCCTAACAAATAGTATTCAACAAAGTATTAAATTATTATACATTCCTCAACAATCTCTATAACATACAAAAATTTTAAGAGATTACATTTTTTTTTAGAGTGCTGCTATTAGCACTTCATAAATTATTTTGAACCTCTAATTTTTAGCCTTTTTTTAATTATTATTACAATAATGACCTCAAATAAAATTACTACAAAGGACATCATTAATTTTGGGATATCACATCTCACAATTAAACCTACACACCCACTACATCATGAAATATGGTTTATGAAGGTACCCACCTCCATCACCACCCATCCATCTTCCCCAAATCCCATCTTCAAAATCTACCTACCCTCAAAATCTTGAAAATCATTTGACGACAATATTCTAGCAGTAACGATGGCAACCATTTGATTACCTACACTTCTCCAGCAATGACAATGAGTGAAAATTTGTCTGGCAATCACAACTCCATAAAACGAGAGAAGTACAACAATAAAAGTTTGAAAAATGCTTGGGAGCACTAATTAGTGCTCCCACTAATTAGGTGGCAGTGGGTCCTGCCATTAATGATGTGATATTTTGGTCTTGGAGTTGTATTTTTTTTTTAATGCATTAGTGCTATTAGTGGTGGTGTTTTTAGTGGGATGAATCATTGTTGTAAAAGTTTATAAGAGGTTCATAGGTTTGATGTTGTTCTTAACTAAGAGGAAATTAACATTGTAAGAATAAGTTTTTTGGAAAAAAAAAATGACAAAAATAATAAAATCTATTCATCATTTTTTCAAGACTGAACTCCCTGAACATATGACTGAAATTCGGAAATACAGGGCTGAACATTGTTTATTTGTTCGGGAATCGGTGACAATCATTTATTATTTGTTCGGAAACAAATAACCGAACATTATTCATAGGTTCAGACCTGTTTTACTGAGAAAATTAAACCAATTATTATAATTTTTTTCTGGAAGAGAATAAATTATTGTTAGAAAACTAAGGGTGTGTTTGGTTTGTGTTTTGAGATAAATTTTCAAAAAAAAATTTGGGGGTGAGTTTAGAAATTTTTTTAATTTGTTTGGTTGTATATTTTGAAAATAGTTTTGGAGTTTGGGAGTTTTAGATGATTTGATATTTTGTTGTAGTTGAATAGATGTGTGTGAGAGAAAAAAGTAATTGAGGAGGAGCGAGGAGCGAGAAAAAGTGATTGATTGCTGTATAAGAGAGAGAAAGTGATTTTAGAATTATTTTTTTTAAAAAAAAATTTTTCAAAAAAAAATTTGGGGGTGAGTTTAGAAATTTTTTTAATTTGTTTGGTTGTATATTTTGAAAATAGTTTTGGAGTTTGGGAGTTTTAGATGATTTGATATTTTGTTGTAGTTGAATAGATGTGTGTGAGAGAAAAAAGTAATTGAGGAGGAGCGATGAGAGAGAAAAAGTGATTGATTGCTGCATAAGAGAGAGAAAGTGATTTTAGAATTATTTTTTTTTAAAAAAAATTGAACCAAACAAAAATTTGAGAATTTTTCTTAAAATACAAACCAAACAAGTCCTAAGAAATTATGTGTGTGTATATATATATATATATATATAAAGAGAGAGAAAGCATACCAACTGTGACAATGATGGATGAGGTAGTAGAAATAGTAATCACCTTGCCTTCGTGGGCTTTGTTAGAGTTTTTTTTTTGGAAGTGGGGTTTTTTTTGGGTATAGAGAGCGTGCATTCAATAGGTGAAATATTTTCACAAGAATAATTTAGTATTATTTGGAGGGAAAATAAATTTTAAGAATTTCAAAATTTATAAGTAAGGGTCCAAAGAAATGTGAAGTCTAAAATAATTCATGGAGTGCTAATCAGTATGTTTAGTTTCAATTTTCTGAAAATTAAGTTTTTTATTTTTCGTATTTTTTTTAGTGAATATTTTTTAAATTTTAAGCATCGTTTTTTACTTTTTTAGATGTACCTTACTTAGATATATCTAAAAAGTAAAATATTTGTGAAAAAATATTTTAAAAAATTAATACATACATAAAAATATGAAAAATATATTGAATTTTTGTATTTTTTTTTATATTTTTGGTATTTAATGAATTTTTTAAAGATTTTCTTCACGAAAGTTATATTTTTTAAGTGTATTTATGTTATGTGTGTCTAAAAATTTTAAAAAAAATTGTTTAAAAATTTAAAAAATTCAGTAAAAACAGAAAATAAAGAAAAAAAAGTAAATTTTTTTGAAGAGTATTTTAAAAATGTTAACAGATCAATTTTTCCACGATGGTACGAATTATCACAAAAAATAATTTAAAAGTCAACAAAATAATATTTAATGATAAAATTTTAAAATGTGTTTTTTGAATTTTTTAGATTAAAATTTTTGAATATTGAGTTTTTTAGTTTTCATATATTTTTTTTATTTTTAGTAAATATTTTTAAAATTTAAACATTTTTTATACTTATTTAGATGTACTATATAAAAAATAAAACAATTATAAAAAAATATTTTAAAAATTAATAAATACATAAAAATGTACTGAATTTTCGTTTTTTTTTTGTATTTTTGATATTTAGTGAATTTTTTAAAAAAATTCACAATTTTTTTTTATTTTTTAAGTATATTTATGTTAGATAAATCTAAAAATTTTAAAAAATTATTTAAGGTATTAAAAAAATTAATAAAAACGAAATAACACAAAAAATAAAAAATTAAAATTTTCTGAAAAATATTTTTAAAAAAATCTAACTAAAGTGATAACTATTACAAATTATTTAATAATCTAAAAATAACATATCACATCATGTAGAAAGTATCTAATAATTTTCTGGTAATTCAACTGTTCACAGATAAATTGATTTGTCTCTTGATTGCTTTGGTTCAATGTTCCAGAGTGGAATCATAAGCTTTGCTTCAATTTTTTTTTCTTTTTTATTCATTTAAGGCAAGTGATAATGATTAAAAAGTGAGAAAGAAGACAAGCTAGCTCCAAGAGTACCCATTACTTCCAAAACCTTTGAAGCTAACTGCTCTGCCCTCTGCCCCTCAATCCGAGGCTATCACAACCAACCTTTTGCTGATTTCTAATCCTAAGCAAGCCCAGGCTCGATTTTCAAAAGACTCCATTTTTTTTTTTAAGCAAAGAGATAAAGAGAGAAAAAGATAGAGAAGACCCACCTTGGTTCTTGGATTTTAGGGCTTGAGAGGGAAGAACTTTGAGATTTGTGTAGAATTGCAGAGATTTGAGGTGGGTTCTGAGTTGGGTTTGTAGAGAAGCGTGGAGGGAGATCTGGGGAAACTTGAAAAGCTATGGAGCCTCCAAGTGGGTTTCGGGCTTCTTTGTGGAATTTCATATGTTTCTTGCCTTACTTTATTGGACTTCTTATTCTGGGTTTTATCAAAGGTACAGTTTCGATTCATCACTTGTTTTTTGCTTCTTCCTTGTTCTGCTGTGGGTTATCTTCTTTCCTCGTACTCTGCTGTGGTTAGGAACAAGTTCATTTAATCCACTATTTGTATCTTTCTTCTTATAATAATCAATGATTTATTGGGCTGGAATACAGTTTGAATTCTTTAGGTTGTGTTTGGATCTTGGTTTTTGAAAGGGATTCGGGTATGGAAAGGAAAAGTGAGGTGAAATGTGAAGGAAATATCAGCTCAATTTATGTCAATTTCCGTTTGTTTTTTCTTGCACTCCTCAAATCCATCTCCAAATCCGAAATCCAAACACAGCCTTAGTATCCATTATTTATTTCAATCGACTTTGTGGCTTGAGGTTGTATATGTATCCACTGGCTCTTGTATTGCTTTGGACAAAATGGTTCCTATTATGCCAACTAGTGGTTGTCCCGATATGTGCTATGAAATCTACAACCAAAGCAATTGAGAGATTTTTAGGGAAAATAAAATAAAAAAACTGAAGCAATTTTGTATGGCATAATTGCTGTTGTGAGCATTTTTGGAAATTACAAAGATTCACCAACTTGGTCGTGGGCCTTACATATTAGTGTAGATAGTACAGATGGTTCTTAACTCGCCATTAAACTGGGAATTAATTACCAAATGCGACAGTTAGTTCTATCCATATAAAGCAAAATAAAGGTACATATTAGAAAGGGTGTTCAAATTTTCTGTTTGAAGGTGAGGCATTGTCTATATACTGTAATAGGTTATATTCATTAGTATTGAGTCTGTGAAATGTGAATGCATCACTTTAGGAAGCACCAAGTACTGGGTAAACTTAGGAAATGTTTTCTGAGGGATAACTGTAATTCTGGATAAATGTGATTAGGGCTTATACCAATGTTTTATTTCAGGTATCATTCTCTGGCCGTTGATATGCCTTATTATGGGAATTGGAAACTCTGGTATAATTTTGGGTCTCTGGCCTGTACACATTATCTGGACAAACTATTCCATTTTAAGGTGCGTTGTTGGGCCTTCCACGTCCAGATGTCTTTCATTCACCCTGTTATCTTGTCTAACTTGTAGTAATTTCTTTCTCATTTTAATGCCAGAGCTAAGCGGTTTGTGCCACTCTTGAAGATTGTAATCTGCTTATTCATTTCTCCTATACTGATTTTGTGGCCAATCTTTGGCATTCTTGGAAGTATCGTTAGCGGTGCAGCATATGGCCTTCTTGCTCCGATGTTTGCCACTTTTAAAGCTGTTGGTGAAGGGAAGACCAATGAATTCTTCCACTGTCTTTATGTAAGTTTAAATGTCCTAACTATTAATGTTTCTAGTTTTCTATGTTCTTGGTCGCCTTCGTAACATAAATTTTCCATTCATGGTTCTGCAGGATGGAACCGTGGATACTGTCAAAGAGAGCTTTACTGTCGTCAGGGATGTTTGGGATGTATGTTTCCATTCCTACTTCTCCGCTATGGATGACCTACAGCATCAAGGGCCCAGAGACGTAAAATATTTTGAGATTAGGTATGTTTTTTGTGATTAATGTTTGGAACTTTTTTTTGACAACGTTGATTTGTTTCAGCCTATAAAACCTGAAGTAAAATCCTTTTTTCTCATAGTATCAAAATCCTGCTAATGAACGAAACAGGCCAGTGTTGGTAGATCCACCCCAATTCAAGTTGCTAGGCCAATAGGCTGCGTGGGGCGTTACAACCATGGTCCATAAAAGCTTTTTTTTTTTTTTTTTGAATTATTCTTTTCCTTTTTGTAGTTATAAATTACTATGGCCCTGTTTGGTAGAGCTGTGGGAAAGTACTTATAGCTTATGCCTCAACAGCTTATAGCTTATAACTTTCAACTTAAGCTGATTTCCAGCTTATTCTTAAAGCATCTCCTGCCTCACTCAAAGAATAAGCTGATTTCTGACTTCCAAAAAGTTATAAGCTATAAGCTATAAGCTAAATTAAACACATCAAAATAGCTTAAATTAAGCTGAAAGCTAAAATAAGCTGTAATTAAGCTCTGCCAAACAGGCACAATATCACAATTGGTACTTTTTACTTATAAGTTATATTGTACTTGTCAAGGGAAAGTTGTACTTCTGTTGTGATTAAGCTAAAAGATGGAGGCAAACAATGAGTGAAGACAGATTTGAAATTTAAAATCCCGTGTCCATATGCTTGCCTTTGTACTACATTGGTTTGGTCGGTAGTTGTACTTTTGTTTAACAGAACCATTTTTGCTAAATATTTTGCAGATTGCTCTATCTTCCCGGTGCTTTTCTACTTGGGCTTCTTGGTTTCTTGGTTGACTTTCCAGTGATCTCACTCATCGCCATTTGCAAAAGCCCTTACATGTTGTTCAAAGGGTGGCACCGCCTGTTTCATGACTGTATTGGTCGGGAAGGCCCCTTCTTGGAGACCATTTGTGTACCGTTCGCTGGTCTGGCGATCCTACTCTGGCCCTTGGCTGTTGCCGGGGCTGTATTGGGCTCCATGCTATCGAGTATCTTCTTAGGTGCTTATGCAGCAGTGGTTGTATATCAGGTTTAATTAATTACCTTTACTTCTACATTTTTTTATTCAGAACCATTGGTAAGCAGGTTCAATAACTGTCTAAATTCAGCAAAAATGATGAATTAGGCATGGTCAACTATTAATACAAAATGGACTAGTTTTGTGCTTGTCTAGCTTTCAAACACCTTTTAAGTAATGGTTTCCTAGTTTTCAATACTGGCCGCCTAGTATTTTTATCTGACATGAACCACGTAACGAAGATGCTCATGTACGTGCACCACATGTCATCTTTTTTTTGGGTGAATACACCATATGTCATCTTGATTCTTGTAGACACAGGCAAACCAACACATGCATCTTAAACTAACTTTCAGGGTAAGAAGCAGGAACACAGACACAAAACACAGATATGCTGACATACCAATTTTAAAGAATGGCAAAACACGACACTTTGCGCATGCAATATTAACACCCATGTGACTGTGCCATATTCCATTTAATCTTGAGCTGCTTTTTAAACCCATCTTTCTTCTAATATGCGATATTAGATGCTTTAAACCCATCTTTCTTCTAATATGGATCTCAAACTGCTTTTTAATTTATTGCTTTTGGTAATGGATTGCAGGAGTCCTCTTTATGGTTCGGGCTTTGCTATATTGTCGCTTCCTTGTCCATTTATGATGAGTACAGCAATGATGTTCTTGACATGCCTGAAGGATCCTGCTTTCCCAGGTTCTAATCACCACTCTAATTCCATGTTTCATATGTAGGAGGACCACCTGTTTCGTTTTATCAAATCTTTTTTATTTTTTATTTTCCTGAATTTCTGATTTTTTTAAACAGGCCTCAGTATCAAAAGAATGTTGTGTCGTCTGAAACCAGTTCTCGAGCAGTTTCTTTCTCGAGGCCCGACTCTTTCCGAAATCCTCCCTCTCGCACAGCGTCTATGCAGTATCCTATGGTTGAGTTGAAGGCACTCGAGGTATTTTGTTACTTTTCCATTTGACATCTCGAATGAGTTCACCGCTTTGTACTCATGTCACTGTCTTGGGAGCTAATCAAACTGAATACTTGAATGCTGCAGTTACTCGATAGCTTTTTTAAAGAGTGTCAACAACAAGGGGAACTAATGGTTTCTCAAGGACTAATAACCCTTAAGGACATCGAAGATGCTAAGTCTTTTAAAGACAGTGGCATAGTCATAAGCATCGGCTTACCAGCTTATGTCTTCCTCCAGACATTATTACGTTCTGCAAAAGCTAACTCTGCCGGTATATTGTTAAGTAAGTGAAATTAACACTTCTCCTCCTAGCATCACTTTGTCAGCCTTCTAGGCCACAATTGAGTAGGCAGAAGAAGGTTTTAAATATCAGCCGATATGTATTGTGATTTTGGACTTCCAATATCGATATTTGCCGATATACCGGCTTCACCGATATACCGGTTGATAGTGTTTGATATGGGCTGATATATGATTGTATTGCCGATACTAATATGCATCCCAATTCTCCTCCTAGCATCACTTTTTCTCCTCCTAAGCCACAATTGAGCAGGCAACAGAGGGTTCTAAGTGTTGCCAATACAAATTGTGATTTTAGACTTCCGATATCAATATTTAGGGGTTGTTTGGGATGACCTAAATAAGTGCACTTTTTGTCTTTTTACGAAAAGATGTGCAGAAAAGTAGAGAGGTGATGTGATGGAAAAAAGATAAAAAGATGGATTATTTTGTAGTAGCCAAACTTGGCCTTACTGATATATTGGCTAATACTATCCAATATCAGCTATGACCGTATTGCCGAAGCTGATACATATCCCGATATAGTTATTCAGAACCACAATACACGAAGCAGTGATTATACAAACTTATTTTTGGTCAATGCAGATGACAATGTAACTGAGATAACCAGCACAAACCGACCCAAAGATGTCTTCTTCGATTGGTTTTTTCAGCCGCTTCTGATCATCAAAGACCAAATCAAAGCGGAGAACCTGTTTGAGGCTGAAGAGGACTACCTAGGCAAATTGGTTATGTTCAGTGGGGATCCCGAAAGGATGAAAAATCCAAATATTGGCCCGCCACCTGAATCTGAGCGTAAGCGAGCTGAACTTGACGCGCTTGCTCGAAGGTAGTAATAAAAAAAATTCATTCTACTTATTAAAACGGAGCTTCTTCATTTCCCTTACCTAATAGCTTCTTGTTTTTACTTTTTTCTTTTTAAAAAAAATTTCCTTGAAGACTTCGAGGAATTACGAAGTCGATCTCTAGGTATCCAACGTTCAGGCGTCGTTTTGAGGATAGTATTAAGATGATGTCTGAAGAACTTGCCAAGAAAAATGGCATCAAATCGACATCTAATGGGCGGCAAAATTTTCCAAGGTCTAGGAGTACGTTTGCTCGGATATTTAGCCAGAGATCATTTAGAAGCAGAACAAGCAACCGAGGGTCTTATCGTCAAGAGTCTCAATCTGTTAGTGAAAGAAGAGAGGTGGAAAATGTCTGACGGTTGAGATGTTGAAACATGTAACGTACGTTCTTTCAATTGTAATATATCTGTATCACTTGTTGATTGATTGCTACATTTGTTCATATTACAAGCTTTCACATGATTGCTTTATCATTTGACTGTAGAAAATACTCGTGTTTTCCCATTTCTTGGAACCAAAAAATTAGTTTGGATTAGGTATCATGTATTTCTTTTTTTTTTATTTGATTTGTATTCCTAAAGAAACCATGACATCAAATTAGATGTCGAATTTTATTTTTTTCTCCCTCGGTTGTTCAATTTTTGCATTTGGTACATGGCATGGAACATTTTTTATTTTTTTTTGGTTTGGTGCAAGTGATGAGCTTCAATTATGGTTGACATTGGTGAAATAATTTATTTTTTTGCAGGATATTTTTTGTTTTTGTATGCATGTTCCAAATGGGTGTATAGTTGTTTTTATATAGTTCATACTATGGCCAGCTAGATGGGGTATGTGAATGTGATGTTCTTGTTTTAAATCTCTCTACTCCAATGCACTTTTAGTTACTCATGGCTCTAGATTTTTGTGTTTCAAAATTTTCATATGATCATATGGTTAGGCTAAGAGTATTGGCTCAAGATTTTCACGTTTCAAAATTTTTATATGATCATATGGTTAGGTTAAGGCCATGTTTGATTCACAATACTAATAATACTAATAGTGAGGTATTAATAATCCAATCAAATTAGTGTGGTATTAACTATCCCACCCCTACCTCATTACTAATAATCCTACAAATTTGTTGGATTAATTATCCATTGGATTAATAGTCCTAAACCAAAATGTCAAAACAAACGTAGGATGATTGGACTCACGGATTAATAATCCCAATCCCATGCTCTAATCCACCCAATCAAACATGCCCTAAGGCCATGTTTGTTTGGACGGACTGGATTAGCATTCCTATGACTAATAGTCCTAGGACTACGAATTCATTGGATTATGTATCCTATCTTAACTAATAGTTAAGTTTAAAATAATTAATCCGTACTTTAATTGCTTAACCAAACATCAGATTAATAATTTTATTGGACTATTAGTCCAATCCCAAACTCATATCCACCCAAACAAACATGGCCTAAGAGTATTGAAAAAAAAAGACAGAAAATTTTGGGTTTAGAGAATGTGACTCTGTGCCATACAAAACTCATGAGTATTTTAATAAGAACGTTAGTCTCTGATAGTTGTTCATAAAAGAAATAATAAATAAAAATTGCAACATATCATTCTTTGGTTTCAAGGAAGGTGTCAATTTTTATATAGATTTTTCTAATGACAGTGAATAAAAAATACAATAAATTATATATAATTTCAATAAATATTCTACATATTTTATACACATTTTATACATTTTAATATAATATTTTTAACATTTTTCTTCTTATATTGCATTACTCGTAACTGGACAATCTTTTTTTTTTCAATTAAAAATTAAATCATGAAATTATGTATTTTTAAGATAGAAGAGTCAGATGCACTCAACTAGTATCCTTCGGCCATTTTGAGAACAATGGTAAAAAGTCAATTTTTTGGCTTTTTAGTTTTTTTATAGCCAAAAGAGCCAACTTTTTTACCAAAAACAACTTAGTTTTTTGCCAAAAAAGACACCAAAAAAGCCAAAAAATCAACTTTTTATCAATTTTTCAAAACAACACGTATCAAGAAATTTGATAGCCAATAAATTAATTAAATAAATAAGGTTTTTTTTGTTTTACCTATTAATCATTTCGTCACTCAAACAACATTTGACTTCCTTGATATCTGATGTTTTTGTCTCACTCCCCACCCCCACAACATTGTCTCAACATTTAACATTACATTGCCTGCATGAGTTGTTAAACCAAAATGTTTAGAGCAATTTGTGTGTTGGGCATTTTGTCAAACACGTGGTAGGTTTGGTTGCTTGATCATCAGCGAAAAAATGCTAAGTTAGAGTGTGTGGGGGTTTGAAAAAAAAAAATCATCTTAATCAAGCTGTCTTTGCCAGACTGACAATTTCTTAACTTGCCTTCAATCCGCATGACCTCAAATTTAGCTGGTTAATTTTGAGTATTTTGATAGTTTCAAACAAACAAGCTGGGGGTAGTCAGGTTGCAAATTCTAATACATTTTACGGTCACATTCTGAAGTCACATAATCAAAATAAAGAAAAGATTAAATGGTTCAGTACTGCAACCCCAAAAACTTGAAATTGTAAAGAACAACACATTAGATTAAAATTGACAGAGCACATGAAACGATATAAATTGAAGCATTATGGCACAAAAGAGTCTACGTTTTGGAATCAAATTAACCTCCCAAACAGCCTATCCTACTAGTCCAAATCTTCGCAACTTCTGATTCTGAGACAGATATCAAATAATAAAAAGGGAAGTAGATAAACAGAAGGAGAGAAGAATGCTTGTCTATTCCTTCTTCCTAGAGTCTTTGAGTTGTCCCTTCTTTCGGATTGCAAGGCAGAACCTTAGACGCCAAGCATCAACAACGGACTCAGGCAAAGAGTGGGCCAGCGCCCACAGAACAGTATGGGGCCAGTAAGGAGTGCAACGTGGTTCATAGCCTATCCAGCGCATTGCAGCCTTAGCATAACCATCTGTCGATGGAACAAAGAAGGAGGACCTTCTGATAGAGGCCATCTTCGTTGCCACGTACAAGGGCACCTATATTGAAAAGAACTCATTAGACTGTATAAAAGGATATGAAACCAAATTCATACACGTATATAAGCCTCCCGGTTTAAGTCCTTGTTTTAAATGGTTCCTCAAAACCACTAAAAAACTATAGTTCTTGTGTTTTCTAGCAAATCCATGATTCAAATAAGAACCTTGCAATTCTTGACATGTGTAAAATCACATATAAACTGAGAAAGAAAGTCTGCGGGGAAAGACACATAAAGCAATCCAACAAGGTGAACTACGTGGTTCTCACTGACATGGAAAAAGAAAGGGCAGCTTTCAAGATTGGCTCTGTATAAATTGTTTTCTTCTCATTTTTTTCCTTCTTGTTTTGTGAATTAAAATATTAGTTTCCAAAAGAATAATGTGGACCGATCATAAGAATCATAATAAACAGATCATTTCAGAGCACATAACCAAGTTCAACGGAAAATTAAAAGAGGATTGTATTTTTTTTTTCTTTGGCAGGTAAAAATTAGTTTCATAACAAGTAGCCAATGCATTGACTATGGAGAAGAACAGGAAAACAAGTTCTGCTTTCTATCACCATCACAATATAAAAACGGTTATCTTACAGAGACAAATCTTAAAAGAAGATTTATACCATAGAACTTTCTTAATCAAGTCATAGAAGCATAATAAAAATGTATCCATGACTAGACAATTTTTTAATGTTCTATATACTTGCTAAGTTACTTTATGACTTCAAATAAGATTAGAAAATTTTAGAACCAAGTTAAACTGCAATACTGAATTATACACAGATCCAATTGTTGGGCATTTGAACAATGGAGAGTAAGAACAAAGTAGAATTTCTTCAATAAATCTTAGCGACATATTGTCCGAAAGTAACATGAACTAGGAAAGGCAATGTAGCAAGAAGGGGGTTCCAAAAAACAAGCATACCTGACACTGCACATCGATCCCATTCTTCTTGTACTCCACATAAAGGCACCTTGAGAATTGATCAATGTATCTGCAAAGTAAAACCACCAATCTCATCCATTCAGCATTCCAAATTATGAAAACCAATTTATATTTGTATACTTAGAAAAATAACTTTTCCCACAAAACAAACACAAGCAAAAACAAAAACTGATCTCTCAGTGGATGATTACAAGTAAACAAACATCAATAACCCAAACTACAAATTTAATGTTCTATGTACCATGTTAAATCACATCCATAAACCCCATCTATGAGACTTCATAAATCATTTGATTGCTGAGGATAGGGAAAAGAGTATGAAAAAGAGAAAAACCAATATCCGTGTTGTTTTTGATTTGTTGAGAACCAGTAGGATCAGCTCGATTTGGTCTCATACAACCAGTCTAGCTGATTTTCATGCTTTCTGAGTAACTAAACAACTCCATAAGCATAGAGAGAGCTTCAATTTTCTTTTACAACCCTAATCAAAACACCCACAAGTATGAAACTACCAGCAAGCATTCACTCATTACTTCAAATTAACGAAAAAAACAAACAGATGAGATGCATACGCTTTGGTGGCTGCATATACAGCATAAAGTGGATCAGAAGGGATGACAATGGCGGCACCAGAACCAATATTAACAATCGCACCTCTCTTCCTCTTAATCATCCCAGGCAAAACCGCTTGTGTAACCTTAGTAGTCCCTTCAACATTGATTTTAATCAAATCAGCCAACAATTGCTCGTCCACCTCATGGAAAAACCTAGCATAAGGATAGGAAACTCCAACATTATTGATCAGAACTCCAACATCCAGACCTTCAATGGTTTCACGAATCCGATTAACCCCTTCGTTCAAATCTCCAGAGAAATCAACAACCACAGTCTTGACCTGGGTTTTCCCGAATTTGGCTCCGATCGACTCCGAAACCTCCTTGAGTTTCTCGGGATTTCGACCAACGAGAATCAAATTCAGACCTTTACGAGCCAATTCGAAGGCGAAACCCTTGCCAATACCGTCGGTGGGTCCCGTAACGAGTGCCCAGGACCCGTATTTCTTCAGATTCTTGGGAGGTCTGAGGAAATTAACGTAGACCCATTTGAGAAAAGCTAAAGAACACTTCAGAAGTGATAAAGAACCGAGAGCTAGTAGTAGAAGGAGGCAGAGGGGTTGAGATTTGAGTTGCGCCATGGAACAGATCTCCATGATGCAGAGTGTTTGAGTTCTCTGAGAAATGGGTTTTGGTTTTTGGGGATTAGATTGGAAAGCCCAGAGAGGATTTGTGAATCTAGATCTCCTGCAGGCGGGGATGGGGGAGCTGGAGAGAGTTTTATAGCTTTGAAGAACAGAGAGAGCTCATGGAGTTGAAGAAGGAGGATGATAGTTAGGAAGAAACGGTTGAGCAATTAATGACATGGCTAAATGTTTGAGGCTGGGCTAGGCTTGGCATGTGTTGGTTGAAGTAGATGAGCTAATATTTGCCAAAGGCAACTTCTTGTATGTCTCCGTCAAGGCTTGCTCTTTTCTTCTCTTTCTTTCTTTTATTTTTCTTTTTTGCAATTATAAATAATTTTTTTGTCTTTAAATTATAAAACATGCTCTTTTTTATTTTTTATTTATATATATATATATATATATTTCAATCTCAACGTTAAATAATATTCATAGAACACTTGTTAGGATCTGCTTGTTTTAAAGCGAAAAGTCTATGTTAAGTCACATAGTTTTTTACAAATCATTTTGTGTCAATTTTTGTTTATTTATCAGTAGTTTTTCAAAAATTATGCCAAACAAATTGTTATTAGAAAAAGAAAATGATTCACAAACATAAAATTTATAGAGAATTTTATGTAAAAATTGATGTGATAATGGCCTTCTAAAAATACAAATCACATTGATGGACTTTTGCTTTTGATAAAACTACCACATCATTTCCGTAATAAAATTATGTATGGTTTTCAGTTTATATAATATTACTCATTGGACAATTATGTTGATTTTATTTTTGTTTTGTTTATATAGTATTACTCATTGGATAATTTGCATGGCCAACAAATATTGTATAATTTGCAAATTGCATAGCAATGCTCAAAATTTACCTAACACTAAATGAATATTGTTTTATTTAACACTAATATCGAATTTATTTTATTGTTATTTTTATTTTTGATTGACAAGCTGGTTAAAAGTTCTTTTTTTTATTTTTTAGTTTTTTTATTTTTGATCATATCACTTCTCTACTTTTTTACATGTTTTCTTTTAAAAAAAAAAGAGTCAAAAAATTAATTTTTAACCACATTCTTAAAACAACCCAAAATATAGGCTCTCCAAAAGTTAAGGGGTTGGTTGTATCCCGCCAAACAAACACCCACTTAAGATACAAGAAAATTAATAAATAATCAAAACTCACAAATAAAAATTTTAATGTTTCTACTATTTATTACTTTGATAAATTACTTTGCATTATTATTAATATTAAATGATTATTTCACAAATATAAAATATATTTAAAAAGTCTCATATTATCAAATAATGGGTAAATACATAAAATTTTAAAAAAATTATAAGTAAATTAATCTAATCAATAGGATGTGTCCATCATTACTTTTCCCTTCCGGTTTACAAGTTTACGAGGTGGATCAAGAAGGGGGTGATGAACCAAAGCCCGAAAAACAGTCTTGCTTGGTATTTATGAAGCCCAATTTAACCTGAGCCTCTGTTTGGCAAGATGGTTTTTAGGCTTTTTTGGTTATTTTAGCCACAAAAAACAAAATAGGCTATTTTAGCCATAACAAACAAAACATCACATCCAACCCATAATCATTACATTCTTCTCTCACAAAAAAAATCAAAAAAGCCAGAAAAAGCCAAAAAGCCCTTCCCAAACCAAGCTTTTTAGCCCAGGCTTAAAATTAGTCAAAAAAGGCCAAAAAGCCAAAAGCCAACCAACTTCCAAACGGAGGCTCCATCAGCCCCAAATTTAGAATTGAAGTATTTATTTGGGATGCGCCAATTTTAATAATCCGATCCGTGGAGGTCCGCTCATACTCACCCGAATGGACGGAATTTTACTTGCCCCAACACTTATGTGGGCGGGGGGTAGATTATGCTTTGGTCAATCCGTTAATGGGGGTGGGCTTTGGGGGCGGGGGCGGGACTCGCTTCTCCGGTATAATTAATAATATATGAAAATAAAATAATATATGTATATATATATATATATATAAAATATAATTAGATATAAGAAAATAATATTAAAAAGTCAGATTTATTTAAATATAAATAAATAGTAATCTTAAAAGTTTTACTATTTATAATGTTGAAATATTAAAAAAAAATTATTTTAGGTGTTAAGAATTTAAATAGTTTTAATTTTTTTGACTAATTTGAAATTGATCGGATAGCCACCGGAAGCAGGGTGGGTTGAAAAATTCCACCATAGAGGGATGGGGTAGAGTTGGTCGGCGGGGAATGACAAATCCGCCCATGGCCATCCTTAATATATACGACCAACCCCCGTTACTAGAAATCTTATTCTTTTTACCCCCTCGGAGAAAAAAAAGAGAGAGAAACATATATTATTTTATTTGTGTAAAAATTATTAAAGCGTATGAACAAAACAATTCTATTCTCTGATTGAATTTTAAAAATTAAAATATACGCAATAAAAAAACAATTATGTAACAACTTATTTAGAGTTCAGTTACCCTCTTGAAGCCTCTCCCTCACTTCCTCCGTGCAACGGCTAAGATCAGCCAGTCTAGATCCAACGGCTTATAAAAAAATAAAAATAAATTTTTTTGAAACAAATGAAATAGAAATTTTCCAGCCAAAAAGCTATGTTAGGTTATACACAGAGTTTTGAAATTCACTCTCACTCAGCCCCCTTCTCCTCGTACGACCCACCCTCACTGGGCAACCCATCTTCATCGACGACTCACTCCCGACGACGGCAAGAACTCCTGAAAACCCAACCAGGCGACGTCTTTTCCTTCTTTCTCCTTACATAGCAAGCTCTCTGTGTGTGTGTGTGTGTGTGTGTGTGTGCCTGTGTGTGTGTGTGTTTCTTGATCGTGTTTTGTTTTGTTTGTTTGGCGGGTATAAAGATTGGAATATCTTATTCAAGTAAATTGATTCAGTTTTTGTGGGTTTTGACTAGAGTCTTTTTGAGGGTTTTTTGGCATAAATCATGGGTTTGTTTTGAATATTTGGTTTGGGGTTTGGGAAGCTGTTTATAATTTTTTGTATTTACAATTTGTCTGATTCATTCTTTGAGAGTTTATTTTCCCCACCTCTGTTTCTTAATAATATTTTTATTTTTTTTTTTGACATGCTTGCTGGAGCGAAGATGCATTTTCAGAGATTGCGTGTGTTGGCTGGTGGTGTGATTTCTTTCAACAAAAGTGATGTCAGGTTGGTTACTGTCTTCATGTTTGCCTCTTCTTGCTCTTTTCTAGTGTCAACATTTCTCTATTGATGTTCTGGTTCTACTTCTAGTATGTGTTCTTCCAAAGCTGCTGTAGTTTTTGTGGTTTTAGTCTTTGTTAGCTCTGTAGTAGGCATATGTTTCTTAGTTGTTCTTGCCTTAACCATGGTTCTATTGTCAATGCATACTAGATTGTGTTGGGACAATCTTTACTGTATTGTAAAATTTCATTGTTGTATACTTAACAAAAAACAGAATATATAAGGAAAATAAAGAAAAAAATGCAGAGAATTGTTGATTATAAAAATCAAACCAGGAAAATAAAATAAAATAAAAATAAAAATGATTTTATTTTTGTTTCAAACAAAATCAAAATCTGATTTAAATAAATAAATAAAAACAGGAAAATAAAAACCAACTTACTTGATTAATTTCTGAATAATATTCTGATCAAGTCCATGTGTTCGGACACTGTTACTTAAGACAGATTCGTTCCCTCACGGTAACTTTCAGAATGTGAACGTCTGTTACTCCCAGGATGAAATGCATCAACAAGCAAACAATAGCAGCACTACAAATGTTTGCCCAACGCGAACACATTAAGTGTTTACACTCTTTCTCACAGAAAATATAATGCAGCAAAATGCCAGAAGAATTTTAGCAGAGGAGAAGTACGCAAAAATTATTGTTTAAAAAACCAAATGAGAGATTGCCTATTTATATAGGTGAAGTGGTGCTTGGTGCGCTGCTAATTTTGAATTAAAACCAGCTACAATACCTGTTCAATTTAAATTTAAACAGATACAAAATCTGTAGGCATTGTTTTGGTCTTGAATTTTCAAACAAGTCAAAAACCTGTTTGGATGGATTGAATTTGAAAAGATTTGGTTAGAACAGCACCGAAACTGCTGCCCAGAATTTCTGAAGAGGTGCCCAAACAAAAATTTGAATTTTATTTCAACCAAAATTGCGCTGGGACAAAGCCCAACCGAACCTCACTTCACCGCACCCGCACCCAAGCCCAGCTGAACGCCGCGACGGACGGAACGGCGGCGCACACTCGCGGTATGGTGATTATTTTGCGAATTCCAATGCGTCTAGCCATTTGCCCATAATCTCCCTCCTAACAAAACTTGGGTACCCCTTGGGGCACACCCCAAGTTCCAATCCCAAATGCCTTATATAAAACCCACTCAAAACTTCTCCACCAAATCAATGTGGGACAAGCCATTTTCAAACCTTTAAGGATTTCCACCAAAAACCTCATTTCCATGGAGCCACACTTTGGCTTTCAATTTTCCATTCACTCGATAATGGTTTGAGCAAAAACCAAATAATACCACGTGAATCACAATGCGGCATAAAACGCGTTATTCACTTGGACCCGTCAAATTCGCGTACGGTCCCACCGTAAATAATTAGACCAAAGTTAGGAAAAATTCTGTTATATACCCAAGATTTTTTCCAAATCATTGTCTAACAGATTGAACCAACTGCTATTTGATTGAATGCATTTCCAATTAATTGTATTATGTTCCATACCATAAACTTGAATAGCCTTTCAGAATGCGTGGCTTCTAAAAAGGTTATAATTGACAAAACCTCTGTAAATGTATTATATATATAGAAGATTTGCATTAGAAAAACACGAAGGCAATGGTGGTGTTTAACTGGAAATTAAATGATCACAAGCGAGTGACAATCATTTTGCTATGAAAAATTTGTATAAAAGTTTTGCGTTTGTGTACCATTACCATTTTTTCTTTCCTTTTTTACTGTTTTGTTACTTTTATTTTGATTTGTTTTTTGCAGCAAAACCTCACCCTTTTAGCCCCTTTGGATTAAAAATCCTATGGCTTTTTAAGTAACTTGGACAAAGAACATGAGAGGTTGGGGCTAAATGTTTTACACAGTAACTAAAAAACAATTTAAGCTTACAAATAACATTGAGCTCTTTATTCTTCCTCTCTCTCTCTTTTTTTTTAATTTTTTTATTCATATCCTCACATTATAGCATATGCATTCTTTAATTTAAGTGG